TTATATGGGATAAATAGAGCAAATTTTGTGATATTTTTCCTTGGAGTACACAGTTGATAAAACAAGCTGCTTTAAAGTGGAGGAAGTGGACTGGAATACATACATCAACTCAGGTTGGTTTTAAACTGGTTTCCATAACACCTCTTCAGGTGGGCCTGTTGGCCATTTCTCCTCTAGTGCAAATCAAACTGAAACATCTCCACCTTACAGGAACACTACATTTAGTATCCCACAAACAGATTCGCTGCTACTGTATATCACCAAAGACACCAACAATACACTACTCTTTACACTGGCTATCACATGTACCTGGTGCGACTGTATTCTTACCAGATAGCTGTTTCAAAGGGGGGAGAGAAAATTAATTATGAAAATAGGCTCCAACAAGCAGACAATATTCTGTTCAGAAGTGAAAACTTCAATATGTTTGCACCATGGGTCCACTCCCATCAGGAGTATGTGAAATACTCGAATGCTTGATCAATGACACTTACATAGAGTGGAGGACCTTCACAACATAGCATACATATAATGTATAGGAGAGGTAATACAGTTGTGTAATACGTTAGGAGAATCCTAACTCCTGATCCTTACTGACATGGTCCTCCTATAGAGTGTCTATTAGGACACAACATAGAGTAACACAAACATAAGCACCATATACATTATGCTGCTGTTGATGGAGTCCATGAACAGCTATAACTCTGCGTAGCAATTTAATAGAATGTGAATGGGATTCCCAAGTAGGCCCTGAGTTACGCTCCTGGCAGCTTGAGTATCTCTACCCACCCAAGGTCGACGGAGAAACATACAGGTCAGGGACAGACTGGGCTGGTGGTGAGGTGGAGGGATAGGAGGTTCGGAGGCCATGTCAAGCTGACGGATGGGAATATAGTGAATTCACACCAGGATGCCCATGTACACACACACATACTGTACACACACTTACAGAGACATACACAAACTCATTACTTTATACTGTACATCTTCCAAGACACCTGTACTACAACCACAGCAAAGGTTACACAAACAAAAGTAGAAAGTGTACTGGTGTCCTGAAAACCCCTCTATTTCTCTTTCTCTACATCTACACATATCTATATTTGTTCTGTGTTTTCATTACTCTGTTCCTGAACAGCTCTGATTAATTATACTTTTGTAAAGCTCATCAGTTAGGGAATACGATGAGCCCATTACTATGCTTGTCTGGAAAAAGTGCGATACAAAACCTGTCTGAACCTGATTAGTTTGTGATTTCGTTGGGTTAGTCAAACTGGACGTCAGTTTAAAACAAACTTTCAGCAATTCATTATTTTTATCACAACTAAAAAACGAATAATGCAATAGCAAAACATGTTACGAATGCCTGTATACTGAATGTATGCTCGGCTGCTCTTTCAGTTTCAAGAAGTTTAGTTTACTTGTAAATAACTTTTTGGCCTCTCTCTGTTAGTTTTATTGAATGTTTTCTGTCTGTCTATCAGTTATAATATGTCTTCTAAAACCTTTCTATTTTCTGTCTGTCTCTCTTGTGTGTCTATCCTCTATCTCCCCTTCCTTCTCGGATACAGGAACTATTGATGTTTAAACTAAGTGAAAGCACAAACTCGCCCAGTAATTCCCCTCACTTGGTGAACTTTGACCTTGGCTCTGAGAGTCATGTGGATGCTGCTGTCTTCAATCCTCTCCACCAATTTGACCATCTTGGCAAGAAGAAGCTGGATCAGGTTTGTCAAGCACTTTTAGGTTATGATAACAGGTTATTTTGGTAGTAAATCACTTATGTATTATTTATTTTAGCTCAATGAAATAAAATGATATTCAAGTGATTATTGGAGTTTCTTCATGTATTTAGAGTTTGTGTTGTGTGGGTGTACTTGTGATGTGCAGGGCGGTTTTGTTTTAACTTTCTCCCAAGGCCAGAAGCTTAATGTTGAAGGTTAAGAGCTGTTTGAGTCTCTAGTGAACTGGATACTGTGGCAATCTCTGAAGTTTCCAGGTCTTTCTGGGGCTCGGCTTTCCTATTCTCCATAGGTCGTTGCTTTTTCCAAGCAGGAGTTAGGCTGGCAGGAAAAAAAGAACACTGAAAAGGTGAAAAGATGAGAGAAGTTTTCTTCAGAAAAAATGTTGAAAAGAGCGCAGTCTGAAGAAGTGCACTTCTTTGGGGCTTTGAACTGTATACCCTCTTACCCCAAACTTATCCCCAGGAGTGCTGCCATGATGTTCAGTTAATTGTTAGATTTTTTTCTCCATGAAGGGGATATGTCTAGCTACAGGTAGTAGTACAATGTGAGAGTTGTCGGCTTTCCTTGTCTTTTCCCTCGTACTATCAAGGGAAATACCGCTGATACAATCAACAAAAGCTAGCATTTCCTCAAGACAGGCTTGTGTGTGTCTTTATGCTTTTTAAAACGGATTAGTTGTATTTATACATTTGTGATCCCTTATAAAGTAGCTGTGTTGGTGCTATTGTTTTTGGTACACGTTTTAATCCTAAGAACTGTTTTCAGCTTATCACAGAACGCTGCATAGCTTTGCATAGAAACACCCTATTAAGAGAATGATTAAAATGCCTTCTCCGCTTCAGGTGCCTGTGTTGTTTGTCAAATAAAATGGAGGGAGGAGGAGAAAAAAAAGTTACATCCATCAATCACCTATGAGGAAGGAGCAAAGGGGGGGTGAATGGATGGAGGGAACGAGTGGAGTTCTCCTCCTTTTGTCAATAAAACTCAGCCTGGAGTTAAGAGTGACATTTTGGCAATCAAAGCAATCTGATTTTTATTTGCTTTCCCAATATGGTGCTAGTGCCAAGTGTGTTTGAGTGTGTGTGTGTGTGTGTATGTGTGTGTATGCATGTGTGTGT